GGGTGTTAGGCATGCTGGGTTGATGGAAGTGCAGAGAGGCGGAGGGAACTTGTGCACGCCTTTGTCTGTGACTGTTGCAGGCGTGCGAGGAGAGGATGTGCACACGGGAGGCCTCTGGCTTTGCAGATCCAAAAACCCCCATTGTGCGGCCAGGAGGACATCAGTCTGGCTGTCCCTGCGATCCTGCACCTTCTGGGACAGGAGGCGGGATTTGCACAGCCACTCCTCGGCGCTGATGGCCTGCAGGCGCTACTTCAGATCAGCTCAGCCTGCAGGCTCCGCCTGGCACGCTCACAGCTGCGACTGCAGCCATGTGGGGAGTACAGGCCACCCTCCGCCGGCCTGCCTCCCCTGTCCAGAGGCTCTCTGCGTGCTGCTCACCTGCCCGGAGTGACTGGGGCTGGGAGGAAGCCAGGTGTCCTGCCCTGTCCAACCCGGGCGGCTCTGCCCGTGCGCACTGCTGCCCTCCCCCGCCGGGTCAGGGATCCGGGTCCGTCCCTTGGGCAGCCTCACGCACTGCTGCCCCCCCCCCCCCAAGCAGGGTTAGAACAAAAGGATTATTTATACCCTAGGCAATTTGCATAACTTCAAGATGGACAGGATGAAGCAGGAGCCTCCGACGTTTCTAGGTGTGTATGGGTGTGGGTGTGCACACACACATGTATGGACAGCGCCGTCCAGAGCATGTACATAAGTGAAGGTCAAATCCTAGAAGATTCAGCTCAGGAGTCAGGGTACAAAGGCACTTAGAGAAGGGAAGGGAGCTGAAAACTACAGTGGGGACAGAAGGAGTTTTGGCATGAATGGCAATAAATTAAGAATTTGAATGAGTCTGTCCTATTAACCAGAAGGAATTGAAAGATTATGAATTTGGACCAACATCTTTAAGATCCTCCCACTCCCTGCTAATGACTGCCCCTAACTGTCATGGTGCCACAGGAAAGAAGAAAAACAAATTGATATTTATATCCCAATGAGGCAATAGTGCTTAATAAACAGATAACATAGGTTTCCCTTCATATTGCCTATTTTCCAACAGGTCTTGATAAACAGAGTACAAGAATGAATGAAATCCTGGCTCTGACACAGGTGGTGGGTAACCACCCAAAGATCATCGGCATCAACGACAAAAGGAACTAGGACAAAATTACAAAAAAATTACAAGAAGAGCTGAGTGAGGTATTCTATATAAAGAATTAGGGCTTAATGGGGTGGGATGAGGACACATTTGTAATACCTTAACTAATAAAGAATTAAAAAAAAAAAGAATTAGGGCACCCTTACCCCTCAAATACCAAAGTGTGGTGTTAGCCGAAGTGTGGTGTTAGCAGGTGGTTATCACTGCCGTTATACTCGATAATCAGATTCGAGGGGAAACCCCCACAGAAGACTGCAGATGGATGCATGGTTTTCAGAACCCTCTGACTGCATCTTTTTTTATTTTAGTTTTAGGGCCTAGTATGGAAACTAACTTCGAAGGGAGTCAGTTAGGGTGAAGAAGGGATTTTCGGTCAAGAAATGACCCAAACGCCCTAACCGGTTTGGCTCAGTGGATAGAATGTCGGCCTGCGGACTGAATGGTCCCAGGTTTGATTCCGGCCAAGGGCATGCACCTTGGTTGCGGGCACATCCCCAGTAGGGGGTGTGCAGGAGGCAGCTGATGGATGTTTCTCTCTCATCGATGTTTCTAACTCTCTATCCCTCTCCCTTCCTCTCTGTAAAAAATCAATAAAATATATTTTAAAAAAAATAAAGAAATGACCCAAACGAGGACAGTGGTGACAGGAGAGAGAGGGTGGGACTCCAGGCAGGCAGAGCAGTACTCAGAGACAGACTGGACGGAGGGTGACAGCTCCCAGCAGTGACTATGGGGTGCAGGTCAGGGCCAGGCTCACCAACTTAGCAATTCCCCAAGTAAAGAATGGGGGGCTTGGGAGAAGAAGTGTGGGGTTAGAAGACAATGAAGGGGACTAATTTAATCTTTACTACAAAGTCTGAGGTATCTCTGGGACCTTGTCCTGCAGCCAGTATGGCTCCTGAGGGACAGGGTGGAGCTAGAAGTCCATGTGTGAGCGATGGTTGAGATCATCGGCTTTGGAGAAAAACCGGAATTCAAACCCCACAGGTCCCAATTACTAGCAAATGGCCAGTATTTCTGAGCTGAAGTTTCTTCAGCTATAAACTGGGGAAATTACCCTTGTGTGCAGCAAACAGGATGGATCTGTGGCACCTCCTAGGAATTCCAAAACTGGGAGCTCACCAGCATTTCTATTCACAGTGAGGCTGCCCCGGGAAGTGGCAGCAGAGCACAAGGCCAGAGGAGCTGGCCTCCTCCAGGGAGGGGCTGCCCCCACTGCTGGGGGTGAAGGAAGCTTGTTTTCTTCCTGGGGAAGAGGTACTTTCTCAACTAAGAGTGAAAGAGACGGGCAGGAAGCTGCGAGAACAAGAAGGGTTTACGCAGCAGCTGAGGGGAATGCTCAGCAAAGGCCTCCTGCCTAACTTTACCACGAGCTCCCATTTCCACTGCGAATGCCTACCCTGCCCAAGAGGCCGAGAGCGATGATGTCATTGGTATCAGGGTGCACCCGAACTTCCCAGCCGGGCTTTAGAGGGTGGAACAAATAACTCCAGATGGGACATGGAAGGGGAAGCCCAAGGCCGTGTCTTTGGGAGGGGGAATAACCTGACATAGTAATCCCTCGGCACTTTGTGTACAGCGGGACTTTCCTGATGAGTAAGCGTTCCCCAGGAGCAAGCTCACCTCATTAAACAGCCACATTATAGCCCTGGCCAGGTTGCTGTTGGTTGGAGCATCATCCTGCACACCAAAAGGTTGTAGGTAAGATTCCTGGTCGGGGTGTGTATGGGAGGCAACCAATGGATGTTTCTCTCTCTCCCTTCCTCTCCCTAAATTAATAAACATATCCTTGGGTGAAGATTAAAAAAAATCAAACCACCACCATAGTACAACCATTTTCTTAAACTATTATCTCCAAACCCTTGAACTCTGACAGCCACAGAGACTTTGATGATATCCCCTAAACACGAACTCCAGCTCCTTCTCCCTTGGTGTGACCACATTCATTCAATCACTCAAAAAATACTGACCGAACAACTACAGGCCAGGCAATGTGGGTGTTAGGGATAAAGCAGCAAACAGGAGGGTCTTTAGCACAGATGGTTTATACTCTATCACAGGGGCAGACAGGCAATACATATATAGTGTCAGGTGCTCAACAATGACAGGAGAAATGACAGGGGCTGGGAGGAGCATGTAATGATTTTAATCTACCCGTTACATATTAGGTTGAACCACATGAAACTGCGATCTCCGACCATTTCTAATTTACAGAATGCTCCATTTCCTACGGGTCTATCTGAGAGCTTCCTTTCATAGGGGGACAATCAAGAATCCTTCTGATGGACGACAAATTATAACAAATCCCCGAAAGGCAGCAGACACCCAGAACTGGCTGACTCAACCTCCCTTCCATAACAGAAGACGTAGGAGAGGCTCTGGGTATAGTAAGTTCAGAGGTAACAAGGGGAGGAGCAGGATGACTGCAGGGTGGTCTAGGTGACTGAATGGGGGACTCTGGTAGGAACCCCAAATAGCTCACACTCTTTGGCACTTCTCCCCACCACTCTGAATGAAGGTGCAGAGCGCAGTCACCTGTCTCCATCCAGAGCACCCCGGGAGGCGGTTATTTCCACCAGGAATGGGGCGCGGGAGGGGCGGGAAGGAATCCCCACCGGACTCCCACGTTCCCTTGTGATTTCTTCCACCACTTCTAAAGGCAGAAGCAGCCCAGGATCTTGGCAGCCTATTACTGTTTAATTTTGGGGGTAAAGAAACATATCTTACGTGTGTAAATAACAAAAAAATCCCTAGCTCCTGAACCAACTGTGGCCCTGCACCAACCAGACATTATGTGCCTCCTGATAGGATGCAGAGGATTTTGCCAAGAATTTGAACCTGGTTCTGATAAGGCCTCCAGAGCTAACCACTGATTGCCGGCAAAGACAGGAGACGGGAACGCCAAATGACACTTAGGGATGCAAACAGCAAAATCCAGCACGTGGGGAGACTCCCCAGGATGAGAAAGGAGGCAAGGGGATGGGGACCTCCAGACCAGCGGTTCTCAACCTGTGGGTCGCGACCCCTTTGGGGGTCGAATGACCCTTTCACAGGGGTCGCCTAAGACCATCAGAAAACACATATATAATTACATATTGTTTTTGTGATTAATCACTATGCTTTAATTATGTTCAATTTGTAACAATGCAATTGGGGGTCACCACAACATGAGGAACTGTAGTAAAGGGTCGTGGCATTAGGAAGGTTAAGAACCACTGCTCTAGACAAAGAAGCAGATTCATTAATACACTCGTGTGTAACCAGTGGCCTCCTCTGGCCCCTTATTTGAACAAATCAACTAGAAAAAGAAAGTTTGTGAGACAAGAGGAAAAAGGAGAACATTGCCTGGACACTTAATACTAAGGAAATATTAAGCAACTTTTTCTTTTTTAAAGAGTCATTATCTCTTAAAGTTACAAATTGCAGTGAACTGATAAATGCTGAAATGATTATTTATTCTTTTTGGTATATGTGTAAGAACTCCCACAATAAAAAGCTTAAAACAAGCCTGTGGGCCCGGCTGGCATGGCTCAGTGGTTGAGTGTCAACCTATGAACCAGGAGGTCACGGTTCGATTCCTAGTAAGGGCACTTGCCCAGGTTGTGGGCTTGATGCCCAGGTTGTGGGCTTGATCCCCAGTGTCAGACATACAGGAGGCAGCCAATCAATGATTCTCTCTCATTATTGATGTCTCTCTCTCTCTCTCTCTCTTTCTTCCTCTCAGAAATCAATAAAATATATTTAAAAAATAACAACAAAAGCCTGTGGGTCTTCCCCCCCCCCCCCCCCAAGTTCCCGCACACTGTCCATTTGAGCCGGGAATGTCTCCCAGGGGCCGACCGCGGTGTAGAGGGTGGCATACCTGTCGATGAACTGGTCAATAATGACGATGTCGCCGGGCTGTATCTCCTCCCTCAAGGAGCCGCAAGCTGTGGTCACTATGACATGAGTACAGCCCTCCTCCTTCAGGGCCCAGATGTTCGCCTGATGGTTGACGTTGGAAGGCATGATGGTATGCTGCCTCCCGTGCCTGCGGGAAGAAGAGCGAATGTGGTCGGTGAGTGAGGAGCACGTTTGAATGGTGTCAGAAGAGAAAAACAATTTACAGCCCTTTCCACCAAAGCGCTTCCGTTGGCAGAGGGGGAATAAAGAGGCTGGGCCGTAACCAGCCAACTCTAAGTATAAACCATTCGGTTTTAAAGGGCAGTTCAGAGTCTGTGTCCTTATTCTCCTATCGAGAGCAGGTACTCACTTACTTAGGATTCCCTGTCCAGGAAGCTGAGTTGTGTCTACCCAGTAGGACGCCAAGCCCCCCAATCAGAGGCATCTGGTCTGTGATCCCCGACACAGAAAACAAGAGGTGCCCGTGAAGAAAGCCTCTGAATAGAAATAAAAGCTCAAGCTTCCAGGTGAAGCTCTCCATTCCTTCTGCCCGGCCACCCAACTAAGTTAACAAAGCGTTTAAAACATTAGAAGGTTTCATCTGAGAACTGATCACTTCACGCATGACCCATGTTACAGGCTGAACTGTGGTCCCCTCCATTCCTATGCTGAGTTCCTAACCCCTAGGACCAGCAGAACGTGACCATATTTGGAGGTAGGGTCTTCAACAGGGTAATTAAGTTAAAATGAGGTCATTAGGGTGGGCCCTAATTTAACACAAATGGCACCCTTACAAGAAGAGAACATCTGGAGAGATACGCAGAGAGCATGTGTGAAGATACAGGGACAAGATGGTCATCTGCAAGTGAAGAGGGCATCTACAAGCCAGAGAGGCCTCCAAGAGACCCTTCCCTCTGGGCCCCCAGAGGAAACCAATCCTGCTGACACCTTGCAGGTGGACCCGAGACTTGATGCCAACCAATGGGATTCAGCAGAGCTGCTGGGAGTCCCTCCCATGGGTAGGCTCCATCCTGACCGCCTTGCAGGGGAGGGCTGCTATCACATGACCCGCCCCTGCCGAGGGTCATGTGGCAGAGAATGCGCACAGCCTCGAGGAGCTGAATTCTGCCAATAGCCACGTGAACTGGAATGAGGATCTGGAACTCCAGGTGAGAACAAGGCCTGACTCTACCTTGTGTGACCTTGAATAGCGGACTGAGCTAAGCCGTGCCCACATGGCTGACATCCCGAAACTATGAGACCACATGTGCTGTTTTAAGCCGCTAAATGTGTGGTTAATTGTTATGCAGCAACAGAAAACTAATACGTATTTTCTAATGCGATGCAAGGATTTTTCTCCCTCTATACCGGGAACCCTGCAAAACTTATTGAGATAACAAGGGTGTAGAAACCACTTCAGGGACCCAAAACCGACTCCCCAAAAACAGAACTATAGTAATATTCACTGAATAAAACAGTTTTCTTTTATCTTGTTAACTAGAAAAAGAGTTTCAACTTTAGTCAAATGCATCCTATCACTCATTGGATTGTTCTAACTACTCTCCCAACCTAAAAAGGGGATCCCATTTAGGTTGATGAGATATGAAATCAGTTTAACTTGCCCCAAACACCGTAAGTGGTGAATAAAGGTGACTGAAATACGTTGGCTCCACCAGCATAAAACTCATATCTGCATCATTACTCTTTCCGGGTTTTAGGTTAAATTTAAATTCTCCTTCAGTAGTAACATTTGAAAAGCTTAAGACACCTTACCTTGCAAGGAGGACGCAATCAACATTCTTTATCTTCCCCAAAATTAAGGCATCAGAAGGCTGCACACAATGAATAATGATTACAACTCAGTGATATGAAAACATAGATGAACAATTAAAAAGCTGCCACTTCAACGGTTCCACCATGAAAGGTTCCATGGAAACTTGGGCATTGGACCACACACTTTAAAGAAGAGTCTAGATTTGATGAATAATCAGTAAATATTTACAGAGGCCTTTACAAGCACAGAGGTTCACAGGAATTTGAAGGTTGCCTCAGGCTAGATCCCGTTCAGTGAGACCTATTGGTAGCAGGCACCCCGGCGGACTCTGAGGCGGACTCTGAGGCGGACTCTGACGGCTCGCTGATCAAATACAGCTGTGTTGGCATCTGGCAGGTGTGAGAGGCCGTGGGCGGGAGGGGGAGAGAATTAAGAACTGAGCACTGGAACCGTTGCTCTGTTAATCAACCAGAAGATGGTCAGGGGTGGCCTGAGGTAATGGAGAGAAAGGTTTTGAGAACCTAGGGGCTCAAAAAAAATAAGGCTAAGAAGTGAGCCAAGCTTATAGCACAGCGGTTCTCAACTTGTGGGTCGCGACCCCTTTGGGGGTCGAACGACCCTTTCACAGGGGTCGCCTAAGACCATCAGAAAACACATATATAATTACATATTGGTTTTGTGATCAATCACTGTGCCTTAATGATGTTTAATTTGTAACAATGAAATGGGGGTCACCACAACACGAGGAACTGTATTAAAGGGTTGCGGCATTAGGAAGGTTGAGAATATAATATAATATAGCAGGACTCGGAAGACCTGAGGTCTACCTAAGGACTCGCTGAAAAAGAGGGTTTGGTTGGGACCCTCAGATGCAGGGACCTTCAGAGCCAGATGGAAAACTGCAATGTTTGGAAGCAGCACGAGGAGCAGCCCCCTTTAAATAGAAAAGGAGGGTCTTACTGTATTCCCAGTTATGCAATCCTGTCACGGATCCCCACGAAATCCCCTTTTGGGCCAGGGCTTCCTTTGAATGCTGCTTCCTCTCATGGCCTTTCTCCTAAATTAGTGTGACGTGACCTACATTACAGCTTCTAATGTAACCAGATTAGAAGCTGATTTACATGTTTTAAATGCAGAGAACTGAAGGGTACAGTTGCTATGTCTAAGATGAGTATGTGGCTTCCAGGAATGTAAATTGAGAAGTAATTTGCACATGTTCAACAGCAGTGCTTTTAATATAAGAAGTCGGGCGCCCTTCGAGACACTGTCTCTGCTGGTAGAACCCACTGACCGGACTCCTGGCCCCTCTCAGCCTGAGGCAGGCCGCCCCGGGGCTGACAAGACAACAGCCATTTAAAAAAATTATTTTAAACTTAAAAATCAAGCCAGCTGGTATGTCTCCATTAACTGGGTACTAACCTTGCCAAATGGAGTATCCACATATTTCTCAGTTCTTCCTTCTAAGATTTCTGGATCATCCAGGCCTGTTCCACCAATGATTCCAATCTAAAGGAAGACCACAAAAAGGTGCCATATTTCACCAGTTTCCATTAGAAACAAGATCAGAAGCAAATTCGTTTACTCACCTGCTCTTCTCCATTCCCGCTAGTTATTTTTTTAAAAATCTACAACTACTGACGAACAGTCATTCAACACACATTTGAAATAACCCAAACGTAGGTCACCCTTTTGGACTTTATCACATTTACTGCTGATAATTTAAGTAACAAATTAGTACAGAAAGGTACTCTATTTAGCTTCAGCAGGAAATCAGTCCTCAAAATAGGCAACTGCGGTTGCAGAAAGCACTCTCTAACCGATTTTTTATTCTCCACTAAATGGACTGTGGAATGAAGAATGTTCAAAAGACTGCTGGGATGGAAAATATTCCTAATTTCTCCTCATCCCTCCATTAGATAAAGAAACACAAGACATGTTCTTTCCTGAGCCACTAACATCGGAGCTGCAGGGGACCACAGACAGACCAGTCTAGAATAGCATGAAAGACCAGCCTCATGTGTATCTGTGAAACCCAAATGTCATTCCTAGGTATGTGTAAACAAAGGAGTAATTCAAAGGTAGTTCTAATCTTTTAAAAATTCCAGTGTCGTATTGCCGTTTCCAGAACCTAACAGTCCTTGAAACCAATCTGATTGGACAATGAAGAAACACAAACAAGAACAATTTCAAAGATAAATACAATATTAGCTGGCCAGTCAACGAAAAATTAGAGAAATGAAGTCGTTAGGAAGGTTGCTCTCCGGGCTGCTACTTCCTAAAGGAGAAACAGTACTTAAATTGCCAGCAACAGGCGAGAGAGGTGACACTTCACTAAGAAACCCAATGGAGAATGACCTGAGCGCCTTTTTTCAATGCTTTAAATCTGTTGTCACTGGAGTAAAGTCTCCACTAAGTGGGAGACAGTAACTCGTTGAGGGGGGAAAAAAATGGCGAGTTAAAGATTAACTGAACATCTGAATAATTTTCAGATCGCGTTAACAAGCGGATTTAAATTAATGTGTGGGAAAAGGGTTACCTCTCCGGCCCTCAGTTCCCTGGAGAAAAAAAAAAAAGTCGCCCTAACCAGTTTGGCTCAGTGGATAGAGCGTCGGCCTGCGGACTGAAGGGTCCCGGGTTCGATTCAGGTCAAGGGCATGTCCCTGGGTTGCGGGCACATCCCCAGTAGGAGGTGTGCAGGAGGCAGCTGGTCGATGTTTCTCTCTCATCGATGTTTCTAATTCTCTATCCCTCTCCCTTTCTCTCTGTAAAAAAAATCAATAAAATATATATTTTTTAAAAAAGTCAACAAAACAGAAAAGAAGGGCAACTTGGTGAGATTTTGCTGAAGAGCTGCCCGTTACAGGCATTGGAACTCTGCCTCCCCACAACGTCCTCAAGTGGCTAAACCTGTTTTTTTTAAAGATGTTTTTATTGACTTTTAGAGAGAGAGGAAGGGAGAGGGATAGACTGAAACATGGGTGAAAGAGAAACACCACTGACTGGCTGCCTCCTGCACGCCCCCTTCTGGGGATCCGCCCACCACCGGACGTGGGGTGTGCCCCGACCCGTGACCGGGAATCAAACCGGGACCTCCGGGTTCATAGGTCAAAGCTCAACCACTGAGCCACCAGCCGGGCTAACCGAGTGTTTGAAGTTGGTGCCACCTTGTGGTCCATTACTGAAACCACAGCACGTTACGTGTAGTCAAGTCTAACCACATTTGCCGGTTACAAATCACAGTTTCACATTCACGTTTCAAAGCAACAGAAATGTTCCCTTAAATTATACATTTAAATCATGCCAGTTCAATAGAATTTTTTTTTTCCTTTTAAATCACACTGTTTTATGCAATCCTAACCCTTCACCTGCCTGGCTTCTCCATTTTACCCTTCATTTCAAATACCTCTAAAGGTACTTGTGGTCACACACACAACACAGGGGACTAACACATCATCACCCCAGATCACAGAATTGAACTGCTGACTCAAATTACTCTCAGTCTGCTCTTCAGGGATTTTATCACCGATGAAAACTTCCATTTTGCAAAAACACCCCCCCCCCCAAAACACACACACACACACACACACACACACACACACACACACACACCAAACAAGCCCCAAAACAACAAAAAGCTTATGACCACTTTGACTTGGCTGTTTCTGGATGATCTCTGGGCCATAGCATCTCACATTAGACTCTCAGAGTCATATGTACAAAACGAACATGTTTTGAAACCTTGCTCTCAGTTTAGGCAAGCTAGCCCAGCATTGAGGAAGCTCGTAAGAAATGCTAATGCGGATCCTGCTGAAGTTCAGTGCCCTTGAGCTCCCCCTCAGCACTCCCAAGCTCCAGTCCCCACCACCCTGATGCCATGACAACCCTGCATTAGGTAGCTGGTAATTCGGTCCTCAGGTCCTCAGCAAGGAACAGGTAGTAAGTACTGGGCATGGAAGCAAGAGCTGCTACTGCTAGCCAGAAAGCCCAGCATGTGGTCTCTGGCCCTGGACTATCTGCAGGAGTGTCCATCCATTCACCCAACTGGCTCTGATTGTTCATGGAAACACTTACCTTGCAAGGGACACAGAACAAGTACAGCCAATTGAATACTGCCACTCCCGGGAACCGGGATTTCTAACCATTTCCTGCAGGGGCAGATTGAGGCCAGCAGTGCCAAGATGTGGCAATGTCGCCACCTGCTGGCTCCACGGCAAAATACTGTGTCTGAGCACTTACATGTCATAGGCACTATGGTAGGCGCTTCAGTCCTACGGAACAGACGCCATCGTATTACACCCATTTTACAAAATTGAAAAGAGAAAGCATAAAAAGGAAGAGACTTATCCAAGAGCTCATCACAAGGAGCCACGCTGGAATAGCAACCCAGGCCTTTCACGTTGACCACTAAGACGTGCTACCTCCCAATACCCCCCTGGGAATCTTTATAACATCATACCCTAGTACTAAGACGTGCTACCTCCCAATACTCCCCTGGGAATCTTTATAACATCATACTCTAGTACTAAGACGTGCTACCTCCCAATACCCCCTTGGGAATCTTTATAACATCATACCCTCGTACAGTGATGGCGAACCTTTTGAGCTCGGCGTGTCAGCGTTTTGAAAAACCCTAACTTAACTCTGGTGCCGTGTCGCATATAGAAATTTTTTGATATCTGCAACCATAGTAAAACAAAGACTTATATTTTTGATATTTATTTTATATATTTAAATGCCATTTAACAAAGAAAAATCAACCAAAAAATGAGTTTGCGTGTCACCTCTGACAGGCGTGTCATAGGTTCGCCATCACTGCCCTAGTAGAAAAGTTTTCTCTCCATCTTATGAGAAAACTGATGCTCTGAGAGGTCAAGTTCTGGCCGAAGGTCACAGAGCACGCTTAGAAACTGACTCTGGGCGTCTAAGTGAACCCCCTGGGAGGGCTGGGGGTGGGGCAGCTCTCCATCAATGACCTCATCCACACTCAGGAAGCACCGGCAAGACCTTACTGGGCCTCCTGGGCCAGAAGCATCAGCCCCCATGCAGGCAGTCCCAGGCTGCCTAGGAAATGTGTTCCGGGGCTGAGATGGGATTTTGGGGCCAATTCTCCCCAGCCAGGACTTCATGACACAAGATAAAGTTCTGAATAGGGGCCCCCTGATCAATCAAGATCATCGCCAGATTTTCATAGCTTAGTGTCATCCCACACTCTCCCACTGACCCACCGCCAAGCCAATCTTTGTAAGAGAGGATTGGACTTTCTGAGACGAAAGCATTTTGTTGACATGTTGGCTTACTTGGGCAGAATGGCTACTTCCAGCAATGTTGACAGGGCTCGTATGAACCCCTCCCCTCTATTTCCCCTGGTGCCTGGACCCAGATTTCACATACCCACCTTGGTTTCACACTGAGGCACCATCACACTGAAGCCAGGACATACTACCTAAGGAACCCAGTCCTCCAGGATGGCATCTCAAAACACCATAACCCCGAGCAGCTGAGACTACCTCCTGCCAGGCGGAGGGCTGCCTCTCACGCTCTCGAAGCAAGAGAGCCGGGCAGCACTCTGATCTGAGTGCTTCAGTCCTTCAGCTCTGGTCGCCACTGACAAGTTTGGCAAGTGCAGCAGACAGTGCCCTTCTTATTGAGCCAAACTGGCTTGGAGGCCTCCCAGGGTCTTGCAAAATCCCAGAAGTCCAGTTGTGTGAGGAGAAAGTGGCTAAACGTCTGCTTGGGAGGCCTGTTCAAAACCTGCGATATTGTCCACGGATGGAGCTGGTGGCTCCATCTGACAAGATAACCCATCTGTAAGCCACCCCTGCGGGTGATGGTTATGGGCTCAACTGTGTCCCTCAAACCAATACCGTGAAGTCCTAACCCCTGATACCTCAGAATGTGACTATTTTTAGAAATAAGCTCTTTGAAGAGATAAGGTTGAATGAGGTCTCTGGTGGGCAGGGGGGTGTCCATTATGACTGGTGACCTCGTAAAAGACTAGGACACAGACACGCGGAAGGAAGACCATATAGTCACAGCAAGGAAATGGCATCTGCCAGCCCAGGAGAGAGGCCTCAGATGAATCAACCTGCTGACACCTTGATCTTGAACGTCCAGCCTCCAGCACTGCCTAAGCCATCCAGTCTGTGGTACTTTGCTATGGCAGCCCCAGCAAGCAAATAAGTAACACTGTGTTCAGAACATCCTTTGTTTTTACTTAATCAACCTCCCTGTGCAAAGTCATGCTATTATTCTAATGGGTAGACATTCCTCCTGAAACGGTCCATTATTTTTTGAGGATTTTTCGGGAAGCTTACTGTACTCTTTAAAGCTCACCTTCCCTTGAGGACAGCAGGGTCCCTCCCAGTGTGTCCCCTGGGTCAGCGGCTAGAGCAGCCGTGGGCAAACTACAGCCCGCGTTTGAAATGAATAAAACTAAAACTAAAAAAAAAAAAGGCCGTGCCCTTTTATGTAATGATGTTTACTTTGAATTTATATTAGTTCACACAAACACTCCATCCATGCTTTTGTTCCGGCCCTCCGGTCCAGTTTAAGAACCCATTGTGGCCCTCGAGTCAAAAAGTTTGCCCACCCCTGGGCTAGATACTAGACTCACCGGGGAGCTTTCAATACCAAAGCCCAGGCCACAGACTCCAGACATGCTGATGAACTGGCCAAGGCACAGGCTGTTTTCTTAAAGCTCCGCAGGTGGACCTCACACGCAGCCAGAACCGAGCACCTGCTCTAGGACCCGGGTCGTGAAAGTCTAAAATCAGGGCTCCCCGAGGGTCACAGGCTGAAGAATGGCCTCTGGGAAAGATCCTATCTGCCCCGTCCTAATTCCCAGAAGCTGCCATCATTACTTGATGTGATTAAAGATTTGGGGATGGACAGATTATCCCGGATTATCTGGGCGGGCCCTGAATACAATCACAAGGGTCCTTGTAAGATGATCACGCGAGGAAGGGGGTGATGTGATGACGGAAGTGAGGCAGGTCAAGGGGCAAGGAACGCCAGTGACCTCTGGAGGCTGGAAAAACAGATTCCTCCTTCAATGCTCCAAGAGGACTTGCCTTGCCTTGCCCTACAGACACCTTGATTTGAACTGTCAGAGAGCACATTTGCATGGTTTTAAGCCCTCGAGTTTGTGGTCATCCTTAAGGCAGCCACAGGAAACCAATACACTAAGAATCACCGGCAGCTGCTCAGCCTTTTCAAAGCTCCCTGGGGCAGTGGTTGTCACACCTTAGTGGGCACCTGACTAGACTTGGGCCCTTCTAAACCCAGATGGCTGGGCCCCGCCCCCTAGAGCTCCGGATTCAGCAGGACTGGGGGGCGGGGGGGGGGCCAAGAACCTGCATTTCTAACATATTCCCAGGTGGGTGCAGAGGCACTGAGTCCTTTGGGAACCACGGTTTTGGAAGCTTCCGTAGCACAGACTAGAATACCATAATTATAACCACAGTTATCGATCTAGGGTCCACTGCACACGGTTCCTCACCTGTACCTACAGGCACACCTTTTTTAAAAAATATTTTTATTTGTTTCAGAGAAGAAGAGAGAGAGAGAGAGAGAGAGAGATAAAAGCATCAATATGAGAATCATTGATTGGCTGCCTCCTGCACGCCCTCTACTGGGGATTGAGTCCACAACCCAGGCATGTGCCCTTGACCTGAATCGAACCCTTCAGCCTACAGGCTGAGGCTATATCCACCGAACCAAATCAGCTAGGGCCACACCTCCTTTTTACTGCACTTCACAGATATTGTAGGTTTGTTGTGGTTTTTTTGTTTGTTTGTTTTTTGTTTTTAACAAATGGAAGGTAAGACCCTCCGCCAGCAAACAGATTACAACTTGCTTTATTGTGGCGGTCTGGAACCAAACCCGCACTATCTCTGAGGTATGCCAATATAAGGGAAGGGAAGAAATCCATAGAATTATAAGGATCAAATGAAAATAATGCATTAATATCTGTCACTGTCCTTGTACACCTTCCCACCTTTAGCGAAAACAAACAAAATCCAAATGAACTTCCTCAAAGCAACAACAACAAAAAAAGCCCTTAACCTGGCTTTTCGGTGTGGGCCGGACAGAGCCTGGTGCTGCTCCATCTCCTCTCCAGGCAGACTCTGCCTCAGGGACTTAGCCCAGGTCCCTCGGCCAGGTGTGCACTGCTCTCCCAGGGGTGCATGTCCTGCAATGCTCAGGACAGTCCTACAAAGACGGGAATTATCCTGACCAAAATGCCCCCGTGTCCCTGGGCAAAAAGTACAGGCTCATGGGTCATTCCCAGTTGGGGCATGTAGGTTGTCCCCCAGTTTCTGAGAGTCACTTCAAGACCTTGGATCTGAAGGCCTTGGCCAGCCACAGACAGCCAAGAGGTGAGCGTAAGGAGCCCATTCTCCAGTCTACATTCCATCGCCCTTAACGCCGTTTTGTGAACAGTTCATTAACCCACCTACAGTGGGACCATATCCCCTCCCTGTCATAGCAACCATAATAAACAAGACTTATTTTTAATCCCCCAGAACAAAAGCTGGGAAACTGCCTGGGGGACCCCCACACTCCCATTGAAGGAGGCCCCCAAAATGCCCTGTCTGGGTGCCAAAGACCTGTTCAGGCCCCTGCATGGTGAAGCATACCACCTGCCCACGGCTGATGCTGGGGTTCTCCCAGACACGGCTGTTATCAGTCCCAGGGGCGAGCGCCCAGGGGCAGAGGGAGGCAGCTGGCTTCTTGCACTCCCTCTACAATCGCTCTTCCTTTAAGCTGCATGATCTCTTTAGTCCCACAATAAAACAGGGCACAGAGCCCACAGGTGGGACTCAGGAATGTCTCACAACATCTAGTTGGTAGAATGTCAGCTACTATCTAGGTCTGACTGTATGATGCTGGGCACCTTAGCTGACCTTTATGGGCCTCGGCGTCCTATCCATAAAAAGGGGTTCGCGTGGCTCTCGCATCTTCAGGAACCTTCCAGCTCTGCATTCCATGATCTGGGGGCAGGATATGGTTTTTATCAGCCTATTTTGCTCTGGACACCAGCACCTCATGTTGTCTACACAGGATGTTGCCTCAGGAGCCTGGGGACGTTGGTGTTGGCAGCACGGATTCTCCACGGCAATGGCTTACCTTACCCTTCTAACCTCAGAGACAGCAAGTAGCAGGCAGGCCTAGCACAATGCGTACTTCTTCAGTTTATACTCAGCAGCTCGCCAAGGCCAAAAATATGCATCATTCCATATTACATCAGGCTCTCGCCACAGTGCCCTGCAGTGCCCACTGTGCACTCAAATGCACTGCACCAATTTTACAGGGAGGCCGTGTGGCGAGGAGAACGCTGAACCAGGTTCACGTGAGATTGTTTTAAATACCACCCCTCCCTGTTTTTACTATTTCTCTAAGTGTCAGGGACGGGTTTCCTGCTTGCCCACTGACAGCGGTGGCCATGACACCTATCATTATTTAATTGTTGGAGAAAAGATATTCAAAACGAATCTCAGCTCCCCCACTTAAAAGCACTCACACTGAACAAGTTTCAACACCCCAGCAAACCCTGCAGCAAACCCCCATTTTATAGATGGGGCACCAGGAACTCGCTTAGCACATGAGCTTCATTAAAACTCTTTCTGCCTTTCCCCCCCCTCCCGCTACTGGTAAGGGAACAGTGTTCTGCAGATATATTTGAATGCAATATTCTTTTCAAAATGACCAACAGAGTTTCAAATCTAAGTGTGCCTACAACACTCCCCACCCCACTCCCGGTCCTAACTGTCGCATGAAAAGCTGCAAGGGCCTAATAAACGAATAATCACTGTGACCGGTAACACGGAGCCCGCAGAGATCTGCCTTCTCCCGGGAGAAGTGAACACAAAGCGAGGAACCAAGAGATACCTGGGTAAAGGAGGCGGGCCTCCTCCCGACCCCTGAGGCCAAGCATGTCTGAAGTTATCTGACTTCCTAGCCAATCATAAACAGAGAGGAGATCTTAAGTTTTATCGATTTCCCCTTAAGCACTGTAACTCTACACTCTCCTAGGACGCCAGCCAGGCCAGAAGTGCGTAAGCCTCAGGGAAGCTCAGGGCACCCCTCAGAACTCGTACCCTCCTCTGGCTCAGGATCCCACCGCACAAAGGTGTCTTGTGCGGAGACTTTACAAGTGCCAGCGGTTCTCAACCTGTGGGTCGCGACCCCTTTGGCGGTGGACCGACCCTTTCACAGGGGTCGCCTAAGACCATCCTGCATATCAGATATTTACATGACGATTCGTAACAGTAGCAACATTCCAGTTATGAAGTAGCAACGAAAATAATTTTATGGTTGGGTCACGACATGAGGAACTGTATTTAAAGGGCCAGAAGGTTGAGAACCGCTGATTGAAACCGATCTCTGACTTTCAAGATCGCAAACAAAGCAGTTTAAAGCCAGAGGCCTCCACCGAGGGAGCCGCCTCTACTCCAGGTCCGCGCTGCACAAGTCAGAATGCCTGAAGCAACGCGCTGCAGGGGGCACTTCAGGGGAAGGCCTACGTTTGGAAGAAAAAAAAAAGCCGGAAGCTTGTAAAAGAGCAAGCACGTTAGTTCTCCCACGTGGGCCGCGGGCAGAAAGCGGAATCAGAGCGGAAGCACGCACGCTGCTAGCCCCAGCCGAGCGCATCTCCGGGAAAAGCAGTCCCACTCGGGAAAGGCTGGCGCGCGGCGGAGCTCTGCCCACAGCCCCTCTCCCAAGGGCTTGCCCACACCCTGCACGGTGAGGGCGCAGCTGAGACCAAAGGTGGAGGGAGCGAGCTTGCAAGCTTTCCCTCCCGCCCGCTCCCCCCCGCCCGCTGGGCGAACCGGTCCTGGTGCAGTGCCCCAGCCCTTTCCCGCCTCGGCGGGGGCGCACGGGCAGGGCACCCAGGCTGGGCGCACGCCCCCGATGCGCGGTCCCCCCCGGGCGGGAGCGAGAGCGCAGCGGGCAGGGGCGGACCGCAGCCGCCAGGCCGGCTAATCTCACCTTCACGGCTGGGGGGGTGGCTCCTGAGGCCATGTCTGCGCGGGGAGGAGGCTGCGGGATGGGCACACGGGGGGAGACGCGGAGCCGGATCGAGCGCGCGGCGCGGGACCGAGCAGTGCGGGTCCGGAGTGGCTCTGACTCCTCCTCTTCCTCCCCGGGACAGCTGGATTGGCTGCTGGCGCGGGATCTCCCCCGCCGCCCCCCTCCTCAAATCGGGGTTCCCGCGTCCCGCCCAAGTGCAGACTTTTCCGGTTCCCCGTGGGTTTGTGTTTTTCCCCATCGCCGAGGTAACTAACGGGTTTATAACAACGATAGCAGTGGAGACCGTTTACCGAGCGCTGGTAGGGTGCCAGACTGCTGTGCACTTTAACCAGCCGCGTTAACTTTAACAGGAGCCCCACAAGGAAGAGCAGCACCCCCGCTCTGCCAAGGATGGCTGGCTCCTCTGTAAAATCAGGCTGGCCTGCGCTCAGCTCTCGCGGGGGAAGGAGGGGGTGCACCAGCGGCAGAGGGAGCGGACTACGGCTTCCTCATCTCTAGTTGGAGGGCAGGCTCTTAATACGCTGAGACCGCGCCTAGCTCCCAGCCTGACATGACAGGGCCAGCACCATCTTTAACCCCTGCCACTGGGCAGCATCCAGTCCCCCGAGATTCAGGCTCCAGGCTCCTGTCTTCATCATTTCACACTGGCCGGTCCCCTCCAACACACACACACACACACACACACACACACACACACACACACACACACTATCCTCCTGGATCGCAGGTACAATGGTACATTTGGCCACTACTTTGTCAGTGGATTAGAGCGTGGCGTTGGAAGCTGAGGGGAAAAGCTAAAAGTTCTATTCACAAGCAGCCACTCTGGATAGAGCAGAACATTGTCAAAAAAATATCTTAAGAGGACAATAAGAAAATTAATAGTAATAATAATAAAATGTAAAAATTGCTGCCCCTTTAAATTCCCAGGTAGGCATAACATCCTCGGAGATGTGTGAATTGGTGAAAATTCAGGCTTAAACACCTCAGTGTCATCATGGACTAGTAAATTTACGGTGCAGAGACAAGGGAGTTGGACAAGTAGGACTTGAGGCGGGGAGTCAGGATCAGAGGAACGGCTGCCAAATGCATTCCTGGGTCTGTCTGAGTGTCATTGGCTTCAAGGGGGAGAAGGGTTTTGAAGGTTCAGGATGCCCAGTTATAAGTGATGAACAAATCACTTTACTTCAGGTGTGGTAATTTACAGCTCACATGGCAAGACTCCACAGTTTTTATAAGACATTCACAGAGCGATTTACATGAATACTTGGTTTTCTATCATGATATTCCATTGCTCTTTGTGTTGGCACACCTGGGGCTGTCCCTTTAACTTGGTTGAGTGCCTTGACTCATTAGTGGTGACCACACTATTTTTGACAACAATTACCAGATAAACAGGTTTCCTAAGAAACAATCTTAGGGAGGATTTTCAATGATTTGTATTCTGCTTTGGACAAACTTAAAGAATGCCATAGAGGATCTTTGTGATTAGCTGGTTATAAATTCAGAGAGAGCTCAATGGTTCTTGCAACTATTCATGGTGCAAAAGTAATAATTGTCCTCATGGAAAGGATAGATAGAGTTAGGAAGTATCTGGGTATAATAGCAGCTGCCATTATGGAAGTCCTTGCATTCCCTTGCTGGCCTGACAGTAGTAAACTATGGGGAAAATTATTCTCTATATTTCTGAAAAACACATAATTTTGTAAGTATATAAATAATTCTCTTTCAAAAAATATTTGAGTTCTTGGGAATGTTTTGCTTAATAAGTGTTGTAAATCTGTCCGTCAGGATTTTGAAATGATTAAAAATGAAAGAAATTTTTGAAAAACGCTTGAAATATTTAATTGAATATGATTACAAAAGAGAACTGAGGGAAATAATTCTGTTCAATATAGAAATATTAATCCAATCATCAATGAAAAACTTATGATATTTCTCATCATACTCAAGTTAAAATAGAATAGAAAAATTTGTAAGTTGACATTAAATATTGAAGGAAAACTTGTTTTTAATTTTGTGACCTTAATAAATTGAACACTAATTTTAAACTAAATAGCTTTTAAACACTTCTTAATACACACAGAAACCTCAGCTCTGGAATATTAAACATAAAAGCAAAATATTCACATTGATTATTTCACCGAGAGAGGAAACTCTGGCCAGACTGGAGAGCATGAGGAACAGTCTGCAGGTGAGTAAAAGAGATAGTAGATACCTCCTTCAAGAAGTTTGGATGAAGAAGGAGGAAAGTTGGAACATGATAAGAAAAAATAGGAAGTCAATGTTTTTAATAGATTTGTAAACACAGAGTGAAGTTCACACAGAAGGAAAACTGGGAGATACTAATAGAGTGAGAAGGCTCATGAGGCAGGACCCCAGAGGATCCCAGAGGAATGGTATCAGAAGCACTGATAGGGACGTGGTCATATATCAGGGGACAGAGACATGAGTCTGGAAGGAAAGAGGTAAGAAGGGGGCTCTAGATAAATCTGAGGTAGGTATTGTGGCTCTAGCTGGTTTGGCTCAGTGGATAGAGCATCAGCCTGCGGACTGAAGGGTCCCGGGTTTGATTCTGGTCAAGGGCACATGCCCAGGTTGCGGGCTCGATCCCCTTTGGGGGGTGTGCAGGAGGCAGTCGGTTAATGATTCGCTCTCATCATTGATGTTTCTATCTCCCTCTCCCTCTCCCTTTCTCTCTCTGAAATCAATACAAATGTATATAAAGAGTAGGTGTTGTGAACCTATAGGCCATCACTCCTGATGGCCTAATTTTCTCCAGAAAGTGGGGGTTGCATAATGGGTTTGAGGATAGATGGTAAATTTTGGGATGGCTGTGGAACCATGTCAGCTTATGGATGTGGATTTGAAATAGTACCTATCTGCAAGGGTATACAATAGTGGGGAAGGAAGAAATTCTATCCTTCTAGGTTCTTTTGGCTGGTCTAATAATTACATCCACATGAGACATATTAACAAGGTAAAATAACCAAATTTAATTACTTGCATATATATGGGAACTCCATGTATATGAGCGGTTCAGAGACAGAAAGGTAAAATAAGGAATATATAACACCCTGAGCTAAGGAATGTGATATAGAGAAGAGGGGGACAATTGGTCGTTTGATAAGAAGAGCAGATGTTCAGTGATTAGATGTTTGCCCTGCCATAGAGGTAGGTCATAAAAAGTTAGCTCTGGTAATAACTCATTATGGGCCAGGCCCCTGATTTAACATTTCTAGGTAGTTACGGTGGGGACAGACATTTCTCTTAAGCCCACAGGGTCTCTATTGCCATCAGCTCAAAAAAAAAAATCCGCATGCCTTCAACTCTGGAATATTAAATGTAAAAACAAAATACATTGATTATTCCACCCAGAGGGGAAACTCTTCTTGGGGAGGTTTGCTCTGAACCCCTTAATATTTTCCCTGATTAGTCAGTAGAGATTGACTAATTAGTTAGGGGTTCAAGGAACAAAGGTGTTGGGGAGGTTAGTTTATATTATCAACCACGAGAGTCCAGCCTTCTAGCGAACAAACACGCCAGGAAGAAGCTGGGTGATGGGTGAAAGTGAAGGACTGGGGAGGTAGAAGTCTCCGGGAAATCTAAGAGCAGTGATGGCGAGGTGAAGGGGTGTGAAAGATGGAAGGAGGGAAGGTCCTGGAGGGTGATAATAAAGCTCAAGGTTTTAGAAGAATTGCAACCCCAAGTTATGGCAAGATCCAGGAGGTGAGTAACTGGATTAGATAATCAGATAAGGTGGAAGCTGTTTTATTTCTTTTTTTTTTTTCTCCTGTGTATTTTCTGCATTCAGGGCTTGCGAGAAAGAGGACAGTGGTCACTCAGGATCCAATTGCTGGAGGGCCTGGCAATCAAAGCCACAAGGATGGTCAGAGATGACACAGAGAGGTAGAGCCTCACAATAGTCACAGTTTTATAGAGGTCATGGAAACAACCATTGGAACTGGCAACGAGGAACCAGGAGGATGCCACCCTCCACCACAGGCTCATGTGAGGCCTGTCAGCCTCCCCATGAGAAACCTGTGGAGGGAAATGGTGACTAGGTTTCAGTAAAGTCAAGGAGATGGAACAGGTGATCTGGAAGGAGGTTGAGGTTGGAGAGGAGCTTATTAGTGATGAAACAACCATTTCACAGAGTGCAGTGGAAAATCCTATATAATAAAAGCCAAATATGCTAAGTGTCTGTTCGACCAGTTGTTATGATTCACACTCACCACCAGGCAGCAGATGCTCTGACTGGTGAGTTAGCTTGCTGCTGGGGTCCGTCAGATCAGGAATGGGTGAGACGGGCCAGACATGCCCTAGAGCCCTCCCATATCCCTCCCTGGCCCCGATTGTGAACCAGTGGGGTCCCTCAGCCTGGCCTGAGCCCGATCACAATCCGGGACCCTTCAGGGGATGTTGGAGAGCCAGTTTCGGCCAACCCCCACAGGCCAGGCCGAGACCCCACAAATCTGTGCACCGGTCCTCTAGTGTATTTACAAAATGCTGAGGGAAAATGGAAGAGGGGAGTTCTTAATCAAATTGGGAAAATCCAGAAAGAACTTCCAAAGGAGGTAATCAGGGTTCTGAAAGACAGATCCCAGTCAGCTCTGTAAATTAGGGAGGGAGGAGGAAAGGGGAGGTAAGTGTCAAGTTTTAAGCTGAGGCATAATATTTCATGGAGATAAGGCACCTCTATGGTATCGCCCTATGTTCCAAGTGGCTGGATTGAAGAGGAGGTCTGAAGTATTGGTGATCGCTGAGGCAGCTTCTGATCAAACTGTGAGAATATCTCTAAACTGTGAGAATCTGTCTAAACTGTGAAAATATCTCTTGCTGGCCAATAGGAGCAGAGGTCAGAGCTATATAGGCCTCCCCAGAGATCTTGCACCAGATGCAACATTTTATTCTGGACCATCTGACAATAATTGCCAGAATTAAAGCGTTAAATACAAACCTTGCTCCAAAAGAAAGATACTCCTATTAAACTCATTTAGCCCTTTATTTAAAAGCGCAGCAAGTTGTCCCCTTCAGACTGGTAGGACGGGATTACATCCTGTTCACTGTGCCTGCCCTCTCTCTCCTTCT